GAAAAAGAACCCATGAGATCAATAAGCTGAACATGTCCAGATCATCCTCAAGTTTAGCAAGTACCTTAGCCTCTGGCTCGTCTAAAGTGTCTAAGCTCTCACAGAGTGTTGCAATGATCGACTCATACCTATAAAAGGGAAACATATGCAAAATGTTTTTATTACTATTATGAATTATGAAAAATACATAGCCTTCAGAAGTACTGCAGAATTAGCCAGCTGTCTAGACAAGTAGCGAAAACAGGTTCTTACGTGTTAGGATAACGTCTGAATATGTCTTTGATGACAATAATGGCCTCTTGAACAACATAATTTACTTTTATCTTTATAAGCTCAAGCAAAACGCTGATGCACCGTTCTGCAGCTCTCTCGAGCTTGATGGCACATCGACCAATTGCACGAACAGCCTTTCTAACAAAATCAACATCTACTTCTGTAGCATACTCTTTGAATTCCAACAAAACCTGTAAAAAACAGCTTATCAATATCTAAAAGAGGCACACTTGGCGTGTTAGATATTTTCACCATTTGCATTGAAAGATTTATATGCATCCACATCCAAAAGGAAATTCCGTGAAAACTATGTTTCCATCATTCAATGGTATTAGCACAAAAAGTTCATATATAATATTAAATCTCTTCATTTATATTCATTTACGACTAATGGGAATGCTTGCTTCTGTTTGTTTCTGAACTGTAAGAGTGACCCATCATTGTACTATTGTTTCACACAAGCAGGCACAGAGTTCATTGTTTGACTTTACATGTATGTATATACACATACAGGGTAAAAATATACAGAGTAGAACTCTTGTAAACTTAAAGTGGAAAGGAGCTCTTGTCCACCAACATTTTTAGCCTTTGATTTTATCTTCGAGATTTGTGCTACACATCAAGGCTATCTTGAGATGTGTGCATTGATTTTGGATCACATGCTAGCACAAATCACAAAGCGAAACCAATGGGTAAAAAAGTTGGTGGACAACAAGCTTCTACCCACTTAAGTTCATAAGAACTTCACTCGTGTGTGTGTGTGTGTGTGTGTGTGTGTGGTGGTGTTGGGGGCGCGGGGGTGGGGGTGTTTTTAGAATGTGGAGTACCTGCAACAGAAAGTCCAAACTAATTCCAAGAAGTTCATATATAATATTAAATCTCTTCATTTATATTCATTTACGACTAATGGGAATGTTTGCTTCTGTTTGTTTCTGAACTGTAAGAGTGACCCATCATTGTACTATTGTTTCACTCAAGCAGGCACAGAGTTCATTGTTTGACTTTACATGTATGTATATACACATATAGGGTAAAAATATACAGAGTAGAACTCTGGTAAACTTAAAGTGGAAAGGAGCTCTTGTCCATCAACATTTTTAGCCTTTGATTTTATCTTCGAGATTTGTGCTACACATCAAGGCTATCTTGAGATGTGTGCATTGATTTTGGATCACATGCTAGCACAAATCACAAAGCGAAACCAATGGGTAAAAAAGTTGGTGGACAACAAGCTTCTACCCACTTAAGTTCATAAGAACTTCACTCGTGTGTGTGTGTGTGTGTGTGTGTGTGTGGTGGTGTTGGGGGCGCGGGGGTGGGGGTGTTTTTAGAATGTGGAGTACCTGCAACAGAAAGTGCCAACTAATTCCAAGTTTATATTAAACTAGGTGCTGACAGGAAGAAATCTCCAGCAATAACCAACAGCAAATAGCTTTCTTTGTTTTTCTCACAGAACTGATACTTTTTTCTATTTTCTTTTCCTTTATTGTAGTTGATCCAAGTTGATGTGATTCATTAGACTGAAACCCTTTGATTCCTAAACGAAGTGACTGGTATATCTTAGGCCTGACAAGGCTTAACTACTACAGCAAATGTGCAAAGAAAGCAGGTCTTAAAAATAAAATAGAGCTAGCGATCGATCTGCTTGGCAAAATAAAAGCATCCAATCTATGATTTTTCGCCGTTGGAGAGTGCTGCCCATGCTCCCAAAAGACCAAGATTGTACTGTCAGGAATATTGAAGTTTGTTACGGCAGTAATACATAAAAAAACGGTCAGAGAGAACTTCCTGGCAGGGACACCATCCTGTACGCATCAATAGGAACTTTTTTTCAGCAAGAATCCAGAACCCTCCGCCTTTGTTTTTCTTTTCTTTTCTTTTCTTTTTCCTTACTAATCCACAAGCAGCTTGGCTGGAATGAGCATTATTGAAATCAATATTTGTATCCATATGCTATATACACTTTGTAAATAGTTCCATTTGACCAATGCACTCTTTGCTAACTAATAGACCTATACATATCTGTCATTTTAGCTATTAGTCTTTTAGTTAATACTTTCGAAAAATAAGATAATGAAGTATGAAATATATTGAATGTAGTTATCCCCTGTCGTGTCTAGACAACAATATTACTATCAAAGGGACACATGTGAACATCATGTCAGTCCACAAATTTCATAGAATTGCTTTTCTTTTCCAAGTGAAAGATGAAGGGTCCCCAACCAATGTCATAAAATGCGGATTAAGCGACCGCTTATGCTTAAGCGGGTTGGAACGACTCCGATTAGGGGAAAAGCGCTCCATTATGCAGTCATCCGCATAATCGTGTGGATTTTCAGTAAGTGCCCGCATATTCTTTTATGCGGCGCTTTTCTTTTTAATACTTTCCGGTTAAACCCGTTTATTGCAAACCCGGCCTGACTATTAAAGTAAAAAAAACCTGACTCTAAAGTTCTCCAAAGTTCCGCTATTCTCTCTATTCTCTCTTGTTTGATCCTAGTGACTGACAAAAATCTCCAGCCTTCATCGACACTTGCTCGAACTTGAGCCGCTTGGGGAAACTCACTGGAAAATGGTATAACCTCTGACACTCTCCCTACAAGCTCTCCGACGATCACCTCAAAGCTCTCCGACGTTCCCTTCGAAGCTCTTTGGTGAGATAGATTAGTCCAAGCATTTAAGTATAGTTTCTATTTTTTATAAATTTTATATGTTTTAACATATGATAAATAATAAATACATATTAAAAAATCAAAACTGCATAATTGGCATAACCCGATTAATAAGCGCTCCCACATCGCACACATAATAAAACCATGTTCTTGAACATTGTCCCCAACTATCAAAGAATATAATATTCATATGACCTGATAACCTATGAAGCACGGACACGCATAACATGAAGCCGTGTCGTGTCGTGTCCGTGTCGGACACACGTATCCTATATATTTTTTAGGATTTGCCTTGTGTCGGTGTGTCGGTGGCCGTGTCGGATCCGTGTCCGTGCTACATAGCTGATAACTACAGTAATTGAAAAGAAAGTTATTAACAAGTAAAGCAGAAATGCAAAAGATATAAAACCAATAAGGTCGTGTAAATCCTTCCATTCTGTACCTGATCAATATTCCGGTCAGAAGCCAGCTTTATCATAATCTCTAACTTTTCCATCTTAACATATATTGGATCATTATATTTGCAGAAGAACACCTATAGACAAGTTGGAAAGAGAGATGTAATCAATTAGAATGAGAGGTGGAAAGGAAACACTTCAGCAATAAATACAAATTATTATACAAACACACCTTAATTTCATGTGCAAGGATAGTAGGTCGTTTCTGTACAATAAGATTAATGTTACGCAATGCGACATATTGTATCTCAGGTTCTGCAGAAAGAAGTGTCACTAGAGGGGGTGCCATTTTCTTGCACAAGTTTCGAACCACATCGGTACTAGTAATCAGTTCCATTTGCTGAAGGATCATCTGCAGCATCAACATCATAAAAATTTAAACATTACATGGAATAAAAATGGATGAAAATGTTTATCCGATTTCACTTAAAAGCTACATCCTAACTATAGCTCTATACTTGAACTTCATACTTTTTATATTTATCAAGATACTGCAACAAGGCTAGACCATTACTACACAACCGCCACAGTAACAAATCGCTTATGTTCTTTTGTCACCAAGTAATACATGGAAGAAGTTATAAAATTAAAAAATATATATAAAAGAAAAAGAAAACAGCATACCTTTACTGCAGAAAGCACAACTGCACAATTGGCATGCTGGAGACGGGGAGTAACTCGCTCCACTATGTTTTCAGCTTCACGGGCATCAGCTGCCTTGTACCTTGATAGGGCATCCAAAATGAAAACTTGGCCCCATCTGCATAACAAGTAAATCTTGAGAATCATTTCAACCCAGTCTACTCAACAACAAGAGCATATTAGATGGTAATATGGCAATATAATTAGAGCAGTGAACTCCAAAAACTAGTAACCAGTGGAAAATTTTGAAAGCCAAGCACTAAACCACATTGTGCTTGATTTTCCATATCCCACCTTCTGTTAGATGGTTATCTATTCCCAGTAACATTATCATGTAATCTAACCCAAGACGTGACACTACAGAACCACTGCAAGCTGACTGAAACCCTCCCCGTACTTGGCCCTAGAGGTGGGTCCAAAACAATCAGATTCTCTTTCCTTCTTTTCTCATGAAATAAACCACTGTGAATACACCTGCAACTCAACACTTTGCGCAATCCAACAAAACCAGGATATTTCCATGACTTCCTCTCATAAGCAACTAGTACATTGACCTTAACTACAATATTAGGCATGAACAAGAATCATGTAATTAATATAAAACACAACAGTAAAAAGGTTTATAAATATATCCAATATTTCAACAGGCACTCGAGAAGAGGTGTTGTCCAACTGTTCTTCAACATATTTACAGGATAGTATGAATGGCACTGGAATAAAGCAATGCCAACAAGCGAAGTGCAAATTCGCAAGCTTATAATACTAGTTCTCTAGTCTATCAATGAGCATATAGTTACGGTAACTGTAAAAAAAGGAGTCAACTAATTTCTTGCCATATGTCCGTGGAATAACTAGTGATTATGTATTTTGAGTAAGTCACTTGATGAATATATATTCCTAAGGAAGAAATATTTTAACTGGGGAAACAAGAGAAAACAACTCTCTCTTGAATGTGACAAGTAATGCTTTTTGATTTGCAGATCAGACCGAGTCACAAGACAGTCATGCGCATAACATGAGGACTAGGAAAGCAAATACACATTCTCATGAAGTGAGTATATGGAGGAAAAAGAATATGATAAAGAATCCAAACATTAGCTTACTCTGTGCATTCGTTAAGAGCAGTCAGAAGCTTGGTAAGTGTATGGCTGGTAATTTCAAAAATTGGACGAGTGCTGTTTTCTTGAATTTCTGCAAGTGCTGCAACTGCATTTGCAACTACCATGGGATTATTGTCAGATATCAAGTCCTTGAGAGTGTCAAGGAACCCCCTATCTTCCACTAGCTCTGCATTTATGTCATATAGTTTAGCAACGCAAATCGCAGCAGTCTTTCGAACATAAGGATCATCATCCTGGTCAAATAAAGTACACAATCTTAGATTTACATGTTAAGAAAAAGTAATCCAATTCTTTACTCTTTGCTAATGGACTAGCTTGCAATTGCAACAGAGAACTGTTTGAGTTAAGATAAAAAAAGATGAAACAGTTTGAAAAGGGAAAAGGTACAAAACAGAAGGAAAGTAACATGTGACGGAAGAAATTGTAAGATCAGCTAACCTTAAGACATCTCTGAAGAGGGTCACAAAGGTATTCTGTAATTTTGTCAACACGGATGCAGCCCATTGTCCTCACAGCTAAAGCACGAATTAGAGGATTAGGATCTTGGGAGTCCTGCAAAAATAACCAGAAGTTAATGATACAACTACAATTATGCAAAGTAATTAACCTATATCACTTTCCTACTCTTACTCCTACAGAGACACTAGTATAATTATCAAAGAAAGATTTGGTAACATATCTGCATCATACCATGAAAGCATAAAACAGAATCTTTTTTGCACAATGTTCTCCATGAAAATTCATTTACATTCATAATAATGAAGAATTGCAACCTAAGTAAAAGAAAATCATTTCTGAGGAAAAAAACGATTGATATAAAATAAAGCTTTATCCATGTTACAGTTTTCCATGCATAAGAAATAATAATAGAAATAGATATCTATCGTTTACTTCGAAAGCCCACGTGAAATAACAAAGGGTGGCTATATGCGCATTTATTTGACCCATATTTCAGTTAAATAGTTTAATCAGATTTAGGTCTCTAGGTATTTTCTATTAACCTCATAAATAAGTGCACGTATTTTCTACATCAGAAATAAGCTGCTTTTGAGTCTTGCATATTATAGCATTGTCCTGTAGCAACTCAGAAAATACTCTAACAACAATGCAAAATGCAACAACATCCCATTTGAGAACAGAGAAAAAAGAGTGAAACACAAAGTGCCAGCACCAGTGTATTCATAAATGCACTTAACTGTGTACATAATGCTTACCTTCACAAAAGTATTAACAGCGAGAATTGCCAGATCAGGTTGGCTCTTTGCATAATTTATAAGATAGAGATAGACAAGCTTCTTCAGCTCCAAATTCTCAGTTTGCATGCAGTTCACAACATCTGTGAATAATGAGGAAACATCCTTTCCAACAGTCATTGCAGCAATCACTTTCTTCACGGCATCCTTCTTCTTGTCCTATAAAATAAAAATACACATGGTAGCATCCCACTGTTAGCAAGGGATTGAAGAACAAGGAGATAGACTTGCACATCAAAGCAACTACAGTTCTGATACCACTCACGTATACAATATAGAGCATGACAATTTCTATGAAGCCCTGTGGGAAAATATTAGGGTGTGTTTGGTAACCAATGTGTTTTTCTTGTTGTGTTTTAATAGAAAAGCATCATGCCATGGTGCTTTATTTTCAAAAGTGTTTTGCAAACACCATTTTGAGTGTTTGGTCAAACTAGTTTGACCATTTACATAACACATACGCTATCAACCAACCAACAACTAGTAGCTCCACTCGATCGCCAACTTTACTCCTGTCAGCCACCATTCGAAAGCTTTGCTTTCAACAGCTATAATTGTCTAAAAAATCAAAAGAACTCTAATAAGTAACCATATTTTTTCGAAAGAGCATACTCGCATATTCAAAGAGGTATGATCTTTGTATTGTTACAGGCTGTGCATAGCAGCATGAGTATAGTTTTCTACTGACTTTGAGTAAAATGTTAGAAGATAACATATAATCACAGATTTTGGATATTTGCATAGAAATTTCGTAGAGGGTATAGTAATGATCCTAAGATTGAGATTTTCTTGAGTTAAGAGTGGGATTACAAAAAGTATCTTCTCTAACTCAGAAATTTCTAGTAGTTTAATTGGTGGTCTTAAGGAAAATGAAGGTGGTTTCATTAGATGGTCTGCAATACCCGATGCCTACTATTATCATCATCATTTATGAAGTCTATAGGTAGCATAAATGATTTAATTGACACATTTAGGATAAAATGAGGGGAAAATGCAAAAAAGATGACACAAATTAGGGAAAACAAAATGACACAAATTCAAGTATTCACGCACTCAGCAGCGAAATTGATCGAAAACGTAGAGATTCGAACGAACAGATCATAGATCTGACGAGATCTTAAGTCGATCCGTTCAATGAAAGAAAGGATAAGCGAATTTAAACCCTAGTTCTAGCAGATCCACAGAGAGAGAGAGAGAGAGAGAGAGAGAGTACCTTGTACTGAGAATTGAGCTCCTCTTTGAGCTCGGGGATCTCTCCCTTCTTCGTTGTAGAGAAATACTTAGAATCGTGGCCGCTCATTTTTGTGGAGCTCCTCTTCTTCTTCCTCTTGCTTGCGAGTTTTGGCGTTTGATCGGAGAGAGAAGAATGAAGGGACTAAATGGTGAGGGCCTTCAGAAATAGGGCTAGTTTTAGTTTTATGGCCTGTTTGGTTATTTCTTAAAAAACCATGAAATAGAAATGAAAACTGAGAAAACTCAAAAAGTATAATTTTATCCATTTTCATCCTTCAAACTCACCCACAATATCTAATAAAATATTATTTTTATTCAACAACTCATCCAACACATCTAATAAAATATTATTTTCATCCAACAACTCATCCACCACATCTAATAAAATATTATTTTCATCCACAACATCACTCAACTCATCTCATCTCATCATTTCAAATAATTCACATCATCCAATAAGATGGTGACAACTTATCTCATCTCATTAACTTTTCATTTCCAACCATTTCCTCTCAAAAAGCTAGGAAAACAATTTCCTTAAGTGTGGGTCACATCATCCAATAATATAATGACAACGCATCTCATCTCATCTATTTTCTTATTTTTAAGAATGAACCAAACAAAAGAAAACAACCTATTATAAGAAATATGTTTCTTATGAACCAAACAAAAGAAAACAACCTATTATAAGAAATATGTTTCTTATAATTCATTTCCTTATTTTTTTCGCCAACCAAACAACATCAAAACAAGTTTTCTTAAAAAATCACTCACATCATCCTATAATAAGGTGACAACTCGTCTCATCTCATCTCCATTTCTTTGATTTCCTTCTTTTTTTAGCAAACCAAACACTCCTATAACAATTCTTCTTAAAAATAGTTTTCCATTTCTTTGATTTCCCACTTTTTAGGCAAACAAACAGACCCTTAGAAAGGGAAAATTGCTTCTTCGTTGTAAATATACTAACTCATCGTACAATTTGATAAAAGTGGGGATACAACATAGTATCCATTGACGGTGCATTCGGTTCGGATACGGTTCGGATATGGAACTTATCATAACCATAACCACTTTCTAAAAACGGATACGGATTCGGTTCAGATATTTATCGGTAAGAAAAAACATTATCATATCTACATTAAATAGAAACAGATATAGTTCGGATATTAGAGAGTCGGATACGGATATGATACGAATACTAATCGGATATTTGAGAAATATATATGAATAGGATATTTCCTCTGTTTTATTATAAGACTCTTCTCTTGCGGGTTCAATGACCACTTCAACGGGGGGTTCGACTGTGGGTTCTTCGTTAGAAGCTTGAACTGATGGATTAGACGACATAATTTTAATACCTATTCATTGAAATTTATGAACTTAATCAAACAAAAAAAATATAATGATGCAAAATACAATCATATATGCAACTAAAAACAATTAGGACTAATAGGTTAGAGATTTTTATCAAAAAAATTAGGGTTTTTTAATTCAGTCAACAAATGCTAGAAACTAGGCTTCTATCAAAAAAAATTAGGGCTTAGGGTTTTGAATTCACCTTAGTGATATACCAAATTGAGGAGGAGAAGAGGAGGTCAGACGTCGTTGATGGTCGTCATCGCGGTGTCGATGGTCGTCGTTACGTCAATCAAGAGGATGAGGCGGTTGCAGACTTCTTGAAGAGTTAAGCTGCAAAGAGGCGGAGGCGGAGCGGGAGCTCGAAGGTGGCTTGGAGGCTGAGCTGAGTGGGAGGCGGAATCGGAGCGGGAGCTCGGAGGCGGCTTGGAGGCGGAGGCGGGTTGCCATTTGGAAAGAAGACTAAGGGTTTTTGAGTTTAGGTCTGCAGTACTACCGACTCTAGTCTCTGGAGTTCTTTTGAGTTAAATTTGGGTCAGGTTGTAGATAACATGAGTATATGTTATAGACCCGACCCAATACAAGTATTATACTTAACACATTTCAAATATCCGGATATCCGGACCATATCTGTAATTTTGACCTGATAACCGTATCCAAAATCATATCTAGATAAAAAATCTAAATCGTAACCGTATTTGAAACCATATCGGACCGGTTTTAATTTTTTCTTACCATATCCGCTTTCTAAACGGATACGATTGCGGTCAGTCCAGATAAATCCGGACCATTGTGGACCTCTAGTCGCAATAATACATACAAATGCAGCAAATCTGCAGTCAATCAAATCAATAATCTCTAGAATAACTGAATGCTACTAGCAATAGTACTTCCTTGATTGATTAATAATAATAATAATAATAATAATAATAATAATCATCATCAGAACTCAATTTTTTACTCCACAATATCGCATAAAGTATCCTTGTTCTCAAATAATGAATAAATTTTCACAATTAAATCCCTCACACAAGCAGAACAAAAGAACTCTGCATGTTCCAATCGTAGAAAATTCTAGCTCCTATCGAACTTTCTCTATACTAGCATATGAAATAGGTTAATTTCATCATCAACCAAATTTAATTTTTCCTATCTCGGTTGGGGCCAACAAGATCCCCCTCATTGGAGAACCATGTATGGCTCATTAGCCAATCAAGGTTGAATGAGTACTCAATGTCTTTTCTAGTTTTGTATCAGTGAAGACAAATTTCATCTTTTTCTCATCCCATCGTCTCAGCACGTGCTCGAAAGTGGGAAGATCAAGACCAGGAGGGCCAAAATGAATATAGTGTCTGAATACACTATCTTCGTAAGCCTCCCAGTGTCTTTGCCCCATATGCTGCACTAAAGTATGCATGAATTCATAGTACGCAATAAAGCTAAAAGTAGGCCGCAACTCTGATGGGGACTTTGCCTTTTTTCTACAAAGCAAAACCACAAGACACGATTAGTTTAAAAATAATTTGTAACCATAACAATTATGCTGTAAACTTGACAAAGAAACTGTAACCTTAACAACAAATCTATAAGCTTCACAACCAAAGCCTAACCTCAACAACCAATCAATAACCTTAACAATAAAAGCATAACACTAACAACTAACAGGTCAAAAGTTAACAGTATCATTCACAACTAATAGCCACAAGTCAACATTAACCTCCACAACTAACAACCGCCCATCAATAGTAACATTCACAACTAACAGCCGCATGTTAAATAACATTCACAAAAGACTCATAACCTTAACAACTAACATACCACATGTTAATAGTAAGCTTAACAACTGAACGGTAATCTTCACAACTGATCCATAACCTTAACAACTAATGCACAACCTAAACAATTAATGAATTTTCTTGACAACTGCAAGCTTACTTTCATAACTTAACAGTAACCTTCACAATTAACACAACATGCAACATCATAAACAACTAAATTTTGCGATAAAAATTACTTTTTTTGTGTTGTCGTATGCGTCTCTTTAGGTCCTCTCTGTAGATTCAGAAGCGCTCTAGAGGCGTCGTCGGTGCTGGTGCTTCCCTCTAGATCTGTGCGCTGGACTGGATTTTTAGGTTGAGCTGGACTTGTGGGATGAGAATGACTGGTTGCGATATCCTCTAGAACATCAGCAATTGATGTGCCAAATTCAGTCCACTCTGCTGCGCTCGAAGGTCTTTTTGAGACGACGTACTGTGACGCATCGTCGTCTTCGCTAAAATCAACAGAGACGACTACTTTTTGTTGTTGAAAATGCAAAGAATAAAATTATAGCGTCAACTTACCTTTTCTTTTACTTTCGCACGTACACGCGAACAACACATTTCGCACTGTCTAATGTGAAACTTTCAAAAAAAGACTAGTGTTTTAGGTCATGTAAACACAGTCTTATCGCAATTCATCTATATTTCGTCACGTTTCAATCACTTTTATCCGAATATAATTTTCAAGATCAAACGACTCAACCCCCTTCGAAATATATGAACCTCACTCTCACCCACCCCATTGAGTTTGGTTAACATGTAGCCTCCTGAAAATAATGATATTAAACAATTTATATAAAGATATAATTAAAATTAAGATCATTTAAACTAATTTTTCATAATAAATGAATAAAATAAAGATAGTCAAAATATCCTAAATGCACATAAATAAAATTAAGTAATAAGATAGTTTAATGTTCAAAAAATATTATTTGCAAATGATGCATCACCAAAAAAAAAATTCTCAATCAGTCAACTATTCATAGGATGTAATAAGAAAAACAGTAAGAAAAGCTCTAATAATTTCTAATTATTTTTTTCTCCGTCTAATCCTCTTCTTTAATGTTGGAAGAGTTGGTTCTTTGTCTATTTCTACAAAATAAAAAGCATATTTATTTAGTAAATTTAACATTAAAAATTATATATTAAAATTAATTAATGTATAAATAAGTCAACCTGATTGTAGCCTTATTTTTTATTGGTTGTAGGTGGAGTTTTAAGTGCAGAAAAGTCAAGTGTAGCGATAGGCGAAACATCTAAAATCTTCTTTTTGTCTTTGCTATTAGCAGTGGATATCGATATGGATAAGTATGGAGTTAATTCAACAAATTAATTATCAATTGTATCATTCTGATTCAATTCAATTGTTTTCTCATCTTGTGATAATAATATATTCGTCTTAAAATAACATGTTAATGATTTAATTATTAAAATAATGAAACTAATATTATATTTAGCAAACACATTCTTGTTCGAATTTTTATCAAGACTATTTCCAGGTGTTGACAAGTTTGGAGTATATTGAATTGATTGACTGTCATCGCCATCAATTAGCGTCATATTGAGTGATTTTTCATTCTTTGATAAAAATAATTTAGTATTAAAATAATGAATATATTGCATACAATTGAGTAATATAATTTTATTATTAAGATTATAAAATTGTTACCCTTCCATTAGTTAGCAGTAACAGCCCGTTAAGTTTTTCATCGTCCACATCATCATCAATGATTTTTAATAACCATGTAGTCTTCAATGCATTTACTTGTGTTAAACTTTGTAACCGCAACATGAAAATGCATATTTCTACTAATTAATCTTTTGATTCCAAGCAGAATCTCCTTGTTGTCTAGATCAGGTTTAAGTAAATATATATATTAATTTTCAATTTTATATATTAAATTAAAAACATATTAAAACTTTAATATAACTTCGATATAGTTTACCAAACCCAACGAAGATGTTAATTATGAAGAACAAGTTTT